ACGAGCGGTAGAGCAGTTTAAGGAGTTGTTTTATTTGACATTGTATACTTGGTTTAATGCTGTGGCTATTAGGCATATAGATGGGCTGCCCAATTTTTGTGGTTTCCTTTCTGATTTGTATTGATGATACATATCCTGTGTATCAACTTTGATTAATATAATATTCGATTACCTTTCAAAAAAAAAAACTTTAAAATCAATTCATGTCCCAAATTTATCGTGTAACTTACTATCTATAAGCCAATTAACGAAAACTTCAAATTGCTCTGCTAAATTTTTCTCCTCATTGTGTCTTTCAGGACCTATCATCAGGAAAGACGATTGTCAGTGTTGAGGAAAGTGAAGGACTCTATTACTTTGATAAGCCTGACGTGAGTAAACAGCGTCAAGTTAATATCTGTGATTCTGCATCTGCCCTTAGAGATAGTGAAACGTTATGGCACTTTAAAATGGGACACCCTAACATTTAATACATGAAACGTGTACTCCCTTCCATTTTTTTGAATAAAAGTTCGGTCAATTTTCAATGTGAAGTTTGGGAACTTGCAAAACATCAGCGTATGTCTTTCCACAAATCTATCTATAAACCATCAAAACCGTTCACCATGATTCACAGTGATGTTTGGAGTCCCTCCCGCGTCCCAAACCGTACTCATACAAAATGGTTTGTTACATTTATCAACGATCACACTCGAGTCTGTTGGGTCTACCTATTAAAAGATAAGTCTGATGTTCGTACCACGTTTATCAACTTCTATTCGATGATTCACACACAATTCCAAACACATATTCAAATTCTACGTACGGATAATGGCATTGAATACTTCAATCACATACTAGGAGACTTTCTCCGAACACATGGGATCATTCATCAAAGTTCCTATGTCGACACTCCCCAACAAAATGGGATTGCCGAACGCAAAAATAGACATCTCCTAGAAGTTGCCGAGCTCTAATGTTTACCACAAAAATGCCTAACTTTTTTTGGGGAGATACTATTCTTACATCCACCTATCTCACTAACCGAATGCCTAGTCGTGTTCTAAATTTTGAAACACCTCTACAACAGTTTTATAAATATTTCCCAACATCTTGTCTCACTTCAAATCTCAACCTACGAGTGTTTGGGTGCACCGCATTTC